TTCCTTCCTTCCTTCCTTCCTTCCTTCCTTCCCTGGGGATTGAACCAGGCCTCTGCATGCTAGGTGTAAGCACCCACCATGGAACTATATCCCCTGCCCTCAACTCAACTTTTCGTGGTTCAATTTGTTTTTAAATAGTTCCTTTCTTCCACTTTCATTACCATCTAGTCTTTCATGACACCTTTGATGTCTCCATCCTATATTTCAAGTTTATTTATTTTCCTCAACAATAACTAACAATTTCTTATCAGCTTCAAAAAAGAAATAAGCACCAGCAACTGATCTAAGTGATACTATGATCTTTTTCTTTGGGTTCTAGGGATTAAACCCAGCACTGCTCTTCCACTGAGCTACATTCCTTGCCCTTTGTAATTTCTTACTTTGAGACAGGGTTTCCCTAAGTTGCCGAGCCCCCTGCCTCTGCCTCCCAAGTTGCTGGGATGACAGGCACGTGCCACTGTGCCCTGAGACACTATGCTTTTCGTGTGTCTCTTTGACTCTTGAATGGTTGAGGAGTAAAGCATTTACAGATTGTGGGGCAGCAAGATGGGCTACCCCTAGGCAGCCAAGATGGGGTCTCAGAGGAGAAGAAAAGGAGATGTCGGGTCTGGAGCACACCCATCATTTGCCCCTGACAGCCTCAACCACAAAGCTCCTGCTTAGTTACCCCTACCCCTACCCCTGGCAATGGCCAACCACAAAAGCTCCTCTAAAGCACTTTCTGTTGTGCCTAAAACCCCTCATCCCCACCTTATGTCAATAAAAGTTTGAAACTATTCTCCCCAGATTTGTTGAAGAAGACAAAATAAAGAGTGTCAATTGGACCCTTTCCAAATCCTATATCTCACCCATCACCTATAGGGATAGATCAAGCCCATAAAACCCCCTAGACAACAGGCACACATTGGCAGCCCTGTCTTGGGATCCCTCTCTCTCTCTGAAGCTCTGCTTTCTTTCTATTGCTCTGATAAAGCATACTGTGCTATCTTGTGTCTGTGCATTTCATTCTTCAATTTTGCAAGACAAAGAACCCACTCGTGCACGGAGATGCATTCACACATTGGACTAGGCGGTGACTTCAGTTCACTGTGTCCTAGACACAGGCTAAGATGAGGACCTGGGGCTGGGTATGGCTGCATTGAAGCGATTTATGTTAGTACTGCATGTGGCACAGGAGGCTTTACCAATGTCCTCTGCACTAGACCTGCCTTATCAAAGGCCTGCCCTTGTGTGTTCACAGAGGAAACGTTACCTGGCCACAGCCAAGCAGTAGATGGCGTTCTCTCTGGGAGTCCTCCCACTGTGCTGCTGGAAAGATGCGAAGCAGGACTTCAGTAAAACGTCCTCACTGCGCGCTGTGGAGTAACAGGGGTGCGAGCACCCCGCTCTTAAAAAGGGGGGGAGGGGCACTTGGGGGAGGTAGGCATTTTTCATGCGCCCTTCTTTTCTCCAAGCTGTGGAGGTAATTTTTATCTGACTCTGCTGTTGATGTAACTCAGAGAATGCATCCGCATCTACCAGTGGAGGCAATACTAGGGGCCCATCTCCCGCATCCCTTTGTGGAACTGCCACAGAGTCTCCAGGCTTCCTGCTTGTAGCGTGTCCTCTGAGAGGCGGTAGCTTGCTGGAGTTGCCTTGTGAGTCCTGGTTCCCAGCCTTATGCCAGCTCTTGGAGGTCATTTTGGGTTGGGTGAAACCATCCACCATCACAATATCTCCAACTTTCGCCCCACGGACCCCAGCTCTGCACAGCTGGCTCCTGCGAAGGCTGTGACTCTGAGCTCTGAGGATCCATTGTTTTATCTTAATATAAATCCTCATTGGGACAGAAATCTTCAGAAACGAGACGGTGGACCACATTTTATTCAGCAGATACAACACACAGTCTTTATGCCTGTGTTTGGACGCGATGGCCAGGGGGGTTTGTCCTGCTGGGTCTTTGCATTCCAGGCACAGGACACTGCAGTGGACAAAGGTCTTCAGAACCAGCAGTTGGCCTGCTTCTGCAGCTGCATGAATGGGGCACTTGGAGACATCTGCGTGGAGGGCTTCGTGGCACCATGCTCGATAGGGGTGGGCACCTACTGCCTCGTGGGGCCGCGCACCCTGCTTCAGGGCCCACTCAGTGAGCTCGGCGTAGCCATAGAAAGCTGCAATGTACAGGGCGACCCTCCGCTGATACCTGGAGGAGGGAAGCAAGTGGGGGAAGGGTCAGTAAAGCAGGGTCACCGGGCACTCACAAGACATTCTGCTGAAGTGCTCACTTCTTCCTAACGTTGACCTTGAGGCTGTTTTAAGAAAGGCTTATAGTAGCACCTGGTTGGATTCACAGGCCTGCTGATACCCACTCTTCTCCCACCAGCAGGTAAATGATTCTAACTGGTTCCCTTGGAGTGGATGTCAATGTAAAAATCAAATGCTTAGGACAACTGTGAAGCTTTATAGTAAAAAGGAAGTTACTGGAAGCAATTCAACGCATTTTAGACATCTGAGAGCTCAGTGTGTTTGTCTTGCTATTTGGACAGTAATGTGTTCTGTCTTTTCAATTCTCTGCTACTCTCCTGAGCCACAGCCCTGCCTCCTATGGCCCCCACCCTGCCTGGACTCCTGGTTGCTGTCCTCTGTCATCTCTACTATCCTGTGCCACCCTGGTCCTTCCAACATTCCCAAGGCATGAGCTGGGGATTGGTGAAGGTGGTTCAGAGGCATGAGTGAGGGAGGCAAACCTCGAGTGGGCCCAGCCTCGTCCAGGACACACGTGGGCAGGGAAACTGAACCCCTTGTAAAGATGGAGACAGGTGGCCCTGTCTCAACTTGCACACCAGCCTCTGCCTTTTGCTGTGCGTGCAGCTTCCCATGTGTTTTCCTGGATGGGGAACACACTCTGCCCAGAGCACAGGGGTCAGTTAGGTTATAACTAAATGGAGTTAAGGTGCTGGCATTTATGCACACATCAGCTTCACACTTGAACTTTGAAAGTCATCATGGCAAGGCAGCCTCTCTGAAGTTGACCCATCTGGGATGAGGAGCCTGCTCCAGAATGAGCTGTGAAAGCCCCCTGGGACCTCTGGATAGCTGGGCAATCATCCTTGCCTTGGTGACACCAGGTCTCTGGGCCACATCTTGCCTTCAGACATCTACAGTTTGATTGATGCGTCCAAATAAGCCCTTGAAGCTCACTGTGTCAGTGACTGAATTCCTCATCTTCTTTCCCAAGTTTGCTCTTCTTCTGAGGTTCCCCTCCTGGCCAGCCAGCAGCTCTTCGTTCACCCCATCATTGAAGCCAGGAGCGGGGGCTTCAGAGTTACTTTGCCTTTCCTCTCCTTTCTTCCCACACCTAGTCTGTTATTCGCAGGGGCTGATTCTGCCTCCCACACCTACCCTCAGTCCGTCCTTAGCTCCCCCTATCCCACCACAGGCCTGGCTCCGCAGCCTCCTTCTCCTGACCATCTACTTCTGTTCCACAGATGGCAGGCGGGGCTGTGATCTTAAATGCCAAGCCCATCCTGCCCCTTCCCTCCCTTCAGAGCCTTCACATCCCTGAGAGACCATGTCCAAACCCTTTCCATTCCTCCATAGGACTGTGTGGATTGGTCTCTCACCTTTCCAGCCACCAGCCACCAACTCCCTCTCAATCTGCAGTTCACCACAAGGAAAGGCGTTCAGTTCCATGAACCTGCCCTCTTGCTGCTCGGCTTTGATACCTATTTTGGATCCTCGTCTTCTCTCCTACCTGCCACCCCCCTGGGTGCTGGTCCTTCAGGTCTCAACCAGGACCTCCCTTTTCAAGCTGCCTCGCTGATCCCTAGTGGAGCAAGTTGTCCACCCACATGCTCTTCGGCCAGGCTGCACTGTGCCTTGCTTACAGCCTATAACACACGGGTGGTGACAGCCACGAAGCCTGATCCTCGAGGCTTCTGACCAGGCCTGCAGCACTCTTTGAGTCCTTATGACCACAGAGTCACTTCATCTCTAAAGCCGTTCTCTGGGTAGATACTATTATTGTTGCCACTTCTCAGGAGGCTGAGGTATGTGATGTTTAGGTTGCTCCCCATGTTTATGGAGCTGATCAAGAAGGAACACGGTTGGCTCCCAGGCACGTGGGCACTGGAGTTGGACTCCCAAGCATTTTTTTCATTTTGCTTCTCCAGCAACTGGTTGCTTATTTTCTGTTTCCCCTACTAGATGTTAACCTTGCTGAAGACAGGTGAGGTCTTGTTTATTGCTGTATTCCTAGGCTCTTAATACATAGCAAGTGCTCAACAAATACCTGTTGATTGGGTGGAGGAGTTAAAGGAGCTTTTCATCTTGATCATGAACATTCTCAGCTCTCGGACTTTGAATATTAAGTCCAGGGGAGATGGTTGAGCACACAAAGACTAGAGGTAAATTGTCAGGATCCAAGATCCTGCTGTGCCCTTCCTTGACAGAAGCGTGACATTGGGGACATTTCATAACCTCAGTTTCCTTTCTGTTGTACAAGACAACAAATACTTACCTCATATATTGTCCTAAGGACAAAATCATGCAACAGTGCTCACATCAAAGAGTGTACTTAGTAAATATGCTATGTTAAAGGCATCAAGGTGAAACAGACATTTCTTTGGATTCAGAACATGAAACAAGAGACTCATCACCATCCTAAATTAGAAACGGATGTAAAATACTTCAATATTTCATGAGACGGTGAAAGCTGCTCTTCCCATCTGTCCCCTCACCAAGCCCTCAGAGCTCCTGATAATGCCTGCGCTTTTATAAGCAGGGCTGAAGTCCCACGAGGGGGCGCTGTTCTAAACGCGGAGGAACGCGGACCTCAGGGTTACTGGGGCTTGTGCAGTTGGGCAGCTGCTGGCTGCAGTGATACCTGGGAGGCCTCCCGAGCCTCCCTCTTCACCGCCCAGGTACAGTTTGTGTGTGGCCAAATGCTGGCTGCTTGTATGAAATGCACTTTAAAAAATTACAAGTGAGCTTAGGAAGGGGCGGATCACGTTCTCGGCCAATTGATTGGAAAGTGTTTTTGTAGGATAACTAAAGTGAATGGCAAGATACTTATCGTCTCAGGTTTTAAAGTGACGTTTAGAAGTCCGATATCCAAATCAAACTGACGTCACCTGTTTCATTAGTATTTCTAATCACTGCAACCCATCACCAAGGGCTGCCAGCTAATGCCTCACGTGTAATATTGTGTGCAGTGGAACCCGCCTGGAGCAGCATCCCAGGTGTAGAGGAAACAGCAGCTCACGGTCTGACGGAAGTTTAGTGAAAAGTTACTTAAATTAATTCCGCATGTGCCTCCTCTCTCGTACTTGAGCACTGGTCCTTCTCTGGATAAATAGCGTTGTACTTTGAGTTTCTGCCCAAGGAGGCAGCCCATGAGAAACTCCTTCCATCCATCCCAGACGTCCAAACGTAGTGTTGTGCCTGTGGACACAGAGAGGCGGGTCACAGCTCGAGTTTGTCCTTGTGGCTCGGCATTGCTTAAAACTTCTAATGATAGCTCTCCTCCAACAGAGGCAGGAGCTGGACACACACTGGAAAGTAACCTTGGGATAAAGAGCCAGGGTGGTATTTTTAGCTTAGGCTTTGGGTTTTGGAAGAGCCACTCAGCTTGAGTGCACTCCTGTTTTCTCATCTCTGGAGCCAGGGCATATAATGCTGTAGTTTCCTGCAGCCCTCTTAAAGCAGTCTTGTGGACGGTTGATCCAGGGCTGAGATATGCGTTACCATGTAAACTGAAGCTGGTGGTTTTGGAAAAGGAGACTAAGCAAACTGGCTTTGTTGGACCCTTAGGTAAGAGCTTCATTAACTATACCTTCTCCTTACCTGTCCAGATAGGTTAAGGGGCTCTTCCTCTGGCTCCCATATATGCTTGGAAACTCTCTATCATTGAACATATGTTGCAGAAGCTTTAGAATACCCAGTTGACAAAGGCCAGTGGAGAACTGTGAGCCCAAGCACCAGGTCTCATCCAGTCTGTTTTAATTGTGCCCTGGGGTTGCAAGAAGTCCTTCATGTGCAAGAACAACCAAGATTTGCTCATGGCGGGCTGCTCCCTCTCCTCCCCAAGGACCCAGGATTCTCTCCCTTATACTCTCCATGTCTCTGTGTGTCTTCTCCCCTCTCTACTGACAGGCTGCACCTACTCACTCCTGCTTCTGTCCTAACATGACTTTGGCAAGCACATGGCCTTGATCTGCAACAATCCAGCCCTGCTGTATGGCACCTTTCATCTTTTGCCTCCACTGATAAATAGCTTGCACTTACCAACTGCCAGACACACTTACTTGCCTACTCCAGGCCCCCACCACTGCCCTCTCTAGGTGTGTGCAGCTGGGTTTTTCCCAGCCCATCCATCCGTCCCTAGGTTCAGGGTCTCCACCATCCCTAGCTCAATCCTCCTTAATATCAGTAGGGCACCTCTGTCAAGACCTACATTTTATTCTACTTTAATTTCCTGTCTGTTAGAATTATTATTATTATATAATATGATATAATAATATATAATATATATTATTATTATTATATCAAATCAGTTCCTTGCAATAAAGCAGCCCTAATTTTTCAAAGATCAAAGGTAACAATCAAAGGGTTTTCTTTTAATGCTCAACTTTTGAATATCCAAAGAATTTCTAAACAAGTTTAGTAAGCACCATTTACTGGCTAATCTTTTCATCCCAGTTGGTCTTTAATGCTCTTTTTTGTCACATATTGAATTTCTTCATAAGCTTAAGAATTCTGTTGGAAAATAGAAATTTACTTGAAAAATGTTATGCTGCTCCAGATGACACTACCCATACCTGTCGCAGAAATGAGTAAAGGTGATGAGACTTAAGCTTGGGGCCCCTTTCTGCATTAGCCTTCTAATTCTCTATTCTTATTTTTTTGAGGGACCTACAGAGGTTACAGAGCTTTCCAAACTTGCACCTGCTTGGTGTCTACTTGCACACCAGTCCACACTGCCCAGGACCACCCTGGAAAGCAGATGGGAACAGCAGGGCCTATTTAGGCAGTTGTCCCCAAGGCTCCCTGTTGGTCCCTGTCTCCCAAGTTCCTGGGTTCCTTACTTTTGCTCCAAGGGTCGATATCTGCCTGACTGATCTGGGCTTTTTCTCCCAGAATATGCAAATCATTACTTTGACCTTAAAGGGCATCAATAAAGGTGTTCTGGTTTGGCAGTCCAGATTATTGGGGAGAACTCAGTTGGATGGAATATGATCACTGTTTATTGGCAGTATGGCCTTGGTCAGGTCATGTACCTCCCTGAGCCTCATTTTTCTTATCAATAAAGGGTTTTAAGAGGCACAGAAGGTCTCCCTGGACCTAGGACTGGCAGAGGTACCCTGAACCAGCTCAGATCTCAGCTCCAGGAAGAGTTTCTCATGTGTAACATGCTCAGGCTGTCCATGAACACATACCATGAGCTATTTACAGTAAAAAAGAACTGACTGGCATCATTCCTAAAGAAATGATTTTCATTCATTTATTCATCCTCCACTTACTCATTTGTTTAGGTAGGTACACCTTGTTCCAGAAAGGATTCATGCCAGTTTTGAGCATGCATATATGTGTGTGTGTGTGTGTGTGTATGTGTTTGTGTGTGTGTGTGTGTGTGTGTGTGTGTGTGTGTGTGTGTGTATGTATGTATATCGAGTAACAAGCAGGTAAGCAAGAGGTAAACAAAAGCCTGGCAGAGACCTAAGAGTTGGGAGCAAGGCCAAAGGGAATACCTGTACCATATTGTTAATGCAAAAAATGGCGTGGGTGTTGGACCTGTGTTGTGCCACTAAATTTCAAATCACAAATATTTGGATATGCTTAGCTTGATAAATTTTATTTAATATTCATTTTTTAGTTGTAGTTGGACACAATACCTTTATTTATTTATTTTTATGTGGTGCTGGGGATCAAACCCAGGACCGCCCATGTGCTAGTCAAGCACTCTACCACTGAGCCACAACCCCAGCCCTTTAGCTTGATAAATTCTTGGTAAGTCAGTTATTAAATGTTCTATCACCAAAAAAAGCCCTTTATCCCCTTCTTCAGTCCAAAATCCTTTTGTCACCACCTACTTTATTAAAATGCGCTGAGCTCACCCATGACCTTTGAATCGAACCAGAAGCCTTTTCTTAGAGTTGTCTGGCCTTCACCAACCTCCTGCCAGTAGCCTCTAGCCCACCCCCTGTTCCAGTACAGAATCTTGGTTCTCCCGACTCAGACAGCTTTCCATGGCTCATTTCCCACTCCTCTGAGGTCTGCTTCCCTGCTACGTCCCTCTCTGTACTTGATCTCTCTTAGGGCTTGACCCCACCTTGTGGGCAGGACACCTACCCCAACATCTGCTACCACTCAGGCCTGGCTCCCTGGTTGTCGCAGAGGAGAATGGGAAGATTCAGGCATACTTGCAGCCTCTGTGAATTTCCTCCTACCAAACCTTGGGACCCAGCTCAGCTCCCTTCCCTAGTTTCCCCACCCCCATCCTTAGCGGGGTCCTTCCCTTTTCTTAAATATGGGTCCAGCATGACTCTGTTTCTTCTTCTTCTTGTTACTCTGGTTGTCTCGCCCATTGCTGGTGGAATCACTTAATACCGGGACCATTAAAACTGCTGGTCAGTGCACCACCCTGCTGCAGTTTCTCCTCATTCCCTCTGTAGTCCACGCCACTCACTACCAGAGGACGCTTCAGCCCCCACGGAGTGGCTGAGGATTGAGTGTCCTGCTTGCCCCATTTCCACAGCGAGGCTGGGAGTGCAGCCCGAGCTTCGCGTATTCCTGCGCGAGCCAGGGTGTCCAGCAACTGCTTGGCCATTTACATCTTTGATTTTCAACAACGACTTGACTGCTTCTTCAAAACCTGGATTTTCCACTGCTTTTGGAAAAAGGGTCAAGGGTCAACTCCTGAGAGCCCAGGGGATGACTCATTGACTGGACAGGGGAAAATCTGGAACAGAAGCTAAGGGTCCTTCGCCCTCTGGTTAAAGCCAGGTGTGCTTGCTGTTGGAGGAGCACGGGTTATGCTTTAAGCAGAGGTGCAGGGCGTGCCCCTTGCCCCTGGCCTGTCCTCCAGGACCCCCTGTAGCCGTGATAGCTAAAGCAGCCCATCAGAGGGTGCTGACCCTGAGCCTGGTCTCTGAAACCCTCCTCCTCAAGCTCTTTCCTCAGAGGCTAGTTTTAAGGGTTGGTGTGTTATCCTCCGAACACTTCCAGAAAAGTTAATTTAAAAAAAAAAAAAATCTGTGAAGTCGTTTCTGAATTCTCTAAAATGACACAGCATAATCTGAGCCATATAGGACCAAAGAACAATCATCCAGACTTTATGCTAGTTTTGTTTTGTCTTTTGATGTTTCATTAAATAACCAGATTACAGTTGCTTGAGGACAAGTATCACAGTGTGTTCTGCCTCATGTATCCCTCAGCATATCCGAGGGAGGGCTCAGTCTCCAGCCAGCGTGCACAGCCGGCATGTGCTCTATAGAGGAGCACTCTGGGGATAGACCCTACAACTTTACCTGCTCTGATCAAAAATGGGGACAATAATTGACAGCAAAGTTCTGAGAGCCTCAATTTGAAACTGCATGAAGGAATAATGCTAAGACAATACAACAGTCAAGAGAAGCACCAATGAGTACAAATTTAGCAGTTTTTAAAAGCCAAACCCCTTAACTTGAACTCCCCTAGAAAGCTCTGTGTATAGTAGGGAGAAGCAGTCTTACAGCTTTGCCCTTCCTGCAGCTGTGCCCCTTTCAGCAAGGACTCACTCACCTCAAGTGATGACCTAAGTTCACATCATTTTCTAATAGGATTAAAGCAAATCTGAAGGCTTGTCAGATCTGAGGTTTTCTCATTGACGTCTGGTGTACCATGCGTGACCTGGATTACAGTATTGAAAGAGCAGTTGGAAGCTGTCTATCAGGGGCAAATGCCGGTCTGCTAAAGAAAGGCAGCTTTCCACCCTGAATCCTGGCATTCCCATGTTACAAAGCTGGTTTTTATGTAACTGGTAACATTGTAGAATGAGATTGCACACAGAGATATTCAGAACAGTGTACAGTATATGCTGCTACTTGCATTAAAAAGGGGGAAAGAATATGTACTTGATTTACTTTTGTATATGCTTGAAATATACTTTCAAAGAGAAACAGATAAAGTGGTTTGAGTTTTGCTCTTCTAACCTGAGAGTATCAACAAATCCTGCTTCAAGAACAAGAGTTGGGGCTGGGGCTGTAGCTCAGTGGTAGATCGTTTGCCTGGCACATGAGGTACTGAATTCTATCTTCAGCACCACATAAAAATAAACAAACAAAATAAAGACATTGTGTCCATATATAACTAAAAATTTTTTTTAAAAAGAACAAGAGTTGGCAGGACTTTGAGACCTTCCTTATTTCTTAGTCTACAGACAAGGGCACAAAGTGTTGATATCTTATATCCATGCTATTCTGGCAGAGGATTCTGATTAGAAGCAACTCCTCCATTTGCTGTGACTCAATTTAGAAATGCTTTTGATTCTCAGTCTTCATGGCCACAATGGTTGCCTGCAGGGGCTGGGAGACGCAAAGATGCCACAACCTTCTATACTGCTGACATTTTAAAACTATGTAACTATCAACTATTTTAAAATCAATAAGTAAATGAAATCAATATACTGCATTTTAAAATCCAGATTTCCATTTTCTTTTGAAAAAGTCCAAAATCTGGCTGGGATCAAAGCACTCCTTGCTGAGTGAGCATACCCACCGCCGAGGCCATACCAAGATGGGTCTGGTAGTCCCGGAGGGTGTTGCGATCATACATCTCCAGGCCAGTGGGGGTCCGCAGACAGTAGACGCTCACAGGGAGGCCACATCTCAGAGTCACCTCGGTCCTTAGGTCAGACACTGTTTTACCAAGAAGGGAAACACTCTCCATTATTGGCATGGTCTCTTGGGTCACAGCATTGAACACGTACAGCGTGGGCTTGTCTTCTTCCTGAAGGGAGAGAAAAGGAGGAGATGCACTGTTTGGAGGTTGACACAAGGGACCAACCCCTCGGAGGATCCCCGAGGGCCTCAGGCTCCCTCTACTGAGTGTGCGGGGGTGGGGTGGGGGACAGGATCAGCTTTGCACTCTTACCTCTGGTCTTGGTCTTGCCCTCTGTGTCCACATTAGCGAGTCCCCCTGCTTTGAGCAAGGTGGAGGAGACACTGCGGGCTCTGAGATCTTTCGTCCTTTATCTACAGACCCAGATCCACGAAAGGAAGGCTGACAACCTACGTTCTTGCTGTGGTTACCCAGGTGTTAGTTTGGAAACACCCTCCACAATGCTGCCCTTTAATTTAGAAAGACCGTGGATTCTAAGCCTTGGGTCAATCTTAAAAAGTCCTTTCTGAGAGGCTAATTCTGAAGAGTGGGCAGGGAAGTTTTTCTTACTGTTACATACTCTCCATGGTCTGTCTATGCAGCTTGACTCATTAAAAATACAATAACCATGTATATTTAATTTTATGTTTAAAAAGGGAAATACTGAATACAGGGTTTTTTCTGTTTTTTTTTTTTTTTAAGTGTCCTTTGTTCCTTTTATTTTACAGTCCAACTAGGAAACCGAGTGGCACTGAGACATCTGAAGCAGAGTTGATATGGGAAGCTGGTGGAGTCTCAGTCCTCAGTTGGCCACAGTCAGTCAGGACAAACTAAAACTAGGAACACAGCAATCGGGGGAGGGGGAGGATCTCCACATTTCCACTCTGTAACAGAAAGTGAAACTGGCCTCGCTTCCTCTTTGCAGACTAGGGAGGACAGTGACTCTTCCGTGGCCTGCGGTGGCCTGGGTGTGCCACTGAGGGCCCCGTCAGGGCTCTCCTGAAGCTGGGCGCCCGGCTCCTCCTGGGCACTCCAGCCAACCCTGGCATCTTGCCCTTCTGCTTCCTTACCCTCTTCCTTCCATCAAAACTCCCCTCCAGTCCCTAATGAAATTAGTATATAAGAAAGGGGCCCTTCTGGACACCACTTTCTTATATACTAATTTCATTCCCTCCCTCCAGGTACACAGTGCCATCATATGAATCTACATGCGGAGCTCTTAGAAAGTCCTGAGGAGCGGCTTGCTGTCAGGTCTGCAGTGTCTGGATCTAGGGCACATCTCAGTGACTCCAGCACAGGAGCAGGCTCCACCTTCTTTGCCTCACCTGAGGCCAGCCCCACAAGCTGAGCTGTGTGGACACTCTGCAGGATGGTTTCACAGAAAACTGCTCAGTACCCATAGAGAGAACCATATTCGCCCTCCCCTTTCACCAGGCCCATGCTTTCCTTCGGTTGTGCAAGGCTGGATCTGCCGAAGCCAGTCCGTGAATGCGTGCGTTAGGCAGAAATCCCTGCAAAGCTGGACAGAAAAGTGCTAAGTGCAAAAGAGGGGAGATGATACCTATGTCATCTCTGTCCTTTTCTTCTCTTCTTGTGGTGCTGGGGATTGAGCCCAAGGCCTCGCACAGGCTGGGCAGGCGCTCTACCATTGAGGCACAACCCAAGCCTTTCCCTTATTTCTTTAGAGATTCCTCTGATTTATCTTTATTCCTCTGGCTGGGTACTAATTTATATTTAGAATGAAAAGCAAATGAATAGAGTAACTTGCAAATAAAATAGAGGAGGCCTGAGTTACTCTCCCCAGTTAACTTGCTACTACATGAGGCCACATAAAGGAGGCAAAGAGAAGCTTCACAGCACGTGAATGATACCACGTTCACATGGTAGATAAGCCCCTCTATTCCTCCCATGTTCCCCTCCCTGCCCCACTGTGAATCAGCCTCCTAATATCAGAGAAAACATTTGGCATTTGTTTTTTGGGGGATGGGCAAACTTCATAGCATTATCTTCTCCAAAACCATCCTCTAGATAGGGCAGAGGGGTGGGAGGGAAACGGAGGGGGCATGGGGTTAGAAATGATGGTACAAAGTGATGGTCATCATTATCCAAAGTACATGTATGAAGACACAATTGGTGTGAATATACTTTGTATACAACCAGAGATACGAAAAAATGTGCTGTATATGTGTAATATGAATTGTAATGCATTCCGATGTCATATATTAATCAAAATAAATAAATAAATAGAAGCACTCACAGGCAGGGTGCATGCATGCCTGTTATCCCAGAGGCTTGGGAGGCTGAGGCAGGAGGATTGCAATTTCAAGACCAGCCTTAGCAACTTGGCCAGGCCGTGGGAAACTTAGTAAAACCCTGTCTCTAAATAAAATACAAAATAATAATAATAATAATAATGGAGGGGCTAGGGATGTGACTCAGTGGTTAGGTGTCCTTGAGTTCAATTTCTGGTAACCCTTCCCACCTCCTACCCCCCCAAAAAAAGAAGCACTCACAATTCCAGGACTAAGAATATTTGTTTTGAGTTCCACTCTCCTCTGGTACCATCAGCTGGAATTTTTATAAACTTCCTGGTCTTGGTAACTATTTACTAAGGATTTACAATTCCTAATTTGAACCTGTGAAAAACAGAGATCTTTCCCAACTCATTTGTAAATTACAAATTCTGTCTTTTGCTTGCCTTTTTTTTTTTTTTTTTTTTGTACTGGGGATTAAACCTGAACCCAGGGGCACTCCTTTTGTTTTTTATTTTGAGACAGAATCTTTCTGAGTTGCTTGGGACCTAGCTGAATTACTGAGGCTGGCCTCAATCTTGCTATCCTCCTGCCTCAGCCTGTTGAGTCACTGTGGATTACAGGTGTGTACCGTCATGCCCATCCCTGGGATGCTGACTATAGCTTCTTACCTCATAGGAAGTGACATCTTTCTACCTCGCTGAGTACACTGAGTCAGGGTGCTGGTCAATGCATAAACAATGCATAAACATTAGTGCATAAACAATGACAGATCACGAGGTGCAAACACAAAATCAGGTCTTTCCCTCCACACACCAACCAAGACACCAAGGAGAGGCATGCATGATGTCTTTCCAATAAAAACAAATACGTGAAATAGGATGGACATTCTTCCCCACTTCAAAGAACAAAGAAAACTCACTGCAAATACAGACATGTACATGAACAATAAAATAGGAAGGGTTTTAGAAACACTGGCTGAAAGAAAACAGAAGTTGAGTCTAGTTTTGAACACTGCTGTAATTTTGTGTCAAGTTCTCCTTTTTTATGTTTGCTATTTTGGAGTAGCAGCACCAAGACAGCGGAAACTTGCCCCAACTGTTCCGGAGTGAACCAAAAGGGGAAATGGTGTTTGTTTTGTTGAACTGAATGAATTCTGGTCAGATGTCTTCATAAATTCCTCTTGTGTGGTAGTCATCCTGGACAGGATGGGACTCTAATTTGAAACTGAAATATCTTTCTTTTCCAAATTCTTTCTATACTTTTTGTGATGGTTTCTCTTAGAAAAAATAACCATTTAGCTGGGGGTATAGCTCGATGGCAAAAGAGCTTGCCTAGCATGCTCAAGGCCCTGGGTCCATCCCCAGCACGCCCCCCATCCCAAAAGAAAAAGCTATTTATTATAAATGTATTCTCATTGATAAACTGTACATTTTGAAGAATCGCATTTATACATGTTCTTGTGTATAAAACTGAATTCAAAATATAAAACTCCATGTTTCTCCTGGACTTTGGTGTTTATACATTCACAGAGCCTTTTGAAAGCTAAAATGTGTATCATTTTTAATCAGTTTTCCATCGATCAAGATAGCACACACGTTTCCAACTTGCCTGGCAGTCAAGTCTGTACTCCACGAGTTAACTCAGCCTCACAAAAACAGCTTCTCACAACATTCCAGGGATATCAGAAGGGATTAGGACACTTTGTTGGGGGAAGTCTGGTTACAGAAGGAAGCCAGGGAAACCAGAAGGAGTCTGAAGGAGACTTAGGGTGTCTTAGGAAGGCTGGGCTCATCTCCGCTCTTCGAGACGCAGATGGCCGCCCCTTTGCAGTTGGCTTGGGTGTGCGAGGAGGCAGGCCAAGTCCGACCTGCTTACCCACTCCTTGGACCTAAGAGCCCAGAAAGCAAGGAAGCAGCTGACTTGGGGAGTGGCAGCCCTGAAGCCTTGCTGGCCTGGCCACAGGGCTGACAGCAACTCCAGCACCATCTTCAAAGGTTCATGGCAGCTGCAGTCTGGCCTTCCTGGACTAGTTCTGGGATGTGACTTAGATATTGTTTCTGGTTGAGTAACCTCTGATCCTGGTAATCTTCCCTGCAAGATTGTGAATCACGCAAAAGCTCTTTAATATGTTTATTTTCGGCTTAAATCATCTGGGGTTTGTTTCTGTTGCTTGTAACTAAGAGCATGATGCAGACAGGGATAGAGGCCAGATACTAGGAAGTGCTTTGCCTCAAGAGTAGAGAGGGAGGGAGAAGCCACAGAAAGGTGGGGATCCAATCCCTGAAAAGCACCTCAACACCTTGCTGTGAAGCTCCAGGCTGCAACCAGACCTTTCTAATTAGCTTTCATGCTCTGCCTCTCAAATCCTCATGAACTCACTCATTCAGTACACATGACGCAGCACCACCAGATGCCAGGGACTGTTCTGGGCCCTGGGTGACAGGAGGGAAGAAAGCCGCAGCAGTGATTTCCAGGGCAATATGGGTCAGAATGAAAGGGGCCAGTGCAGAAGCACCTCTGCGTGCCAGGAAAACCTAGGCTCTTGCAGTGCCCAATGCCATGGTTTTTTGTCTTAATATATCTTTAGTTGCAGAGTGGACACAATATCTGTATTTATTTATTTTACTAGGCTGAGGATTGAACCCAGTGCCTCACACACACAAGGCCAGTGCTCTGCCACTGAGCCACCACCCCAGCCCTCAATGCCAAGTTCTATAGGAGCAGCAGTAGCCACGGTTGTCAGGACCCACCCTGTGTAAACATAATGTGGAGACACAGGCACAGAACGGGTTCTGTGGCTTCCGTAGGAGTCGATGCAACATTCTCTTCACACCAGTCTTGACTGAGTCCCCATTCACTCCTACTCCAAATGTACCTACTTTGACCAAAGTGTGACATGCAGGCAAACTGGAAAATAACTATATTTCAAATGTAGTGAAGGTCAGATTGCCTGCAGATTTACCTAATGTCTTTCCCTCTTATCACCTAAGCAAATTTAGCAATCCACACAAGAATATAAGCATAATAAAATAATAATAAAAAAAAACTAAATGTCTTGGGTTTACTTCAAGTGCACAATACCAACCATACCTTTCAAAATAGAAAAACTGCATACCCAACAAGTCTTTGAACTTCAATCCATACCTTTCAAAATAGAAAAACTGCATACCCAACAAGTCTTTGAACTTCAGTTTGGGGTTTGCATCATCGTATTTCTAAGTTATGCCAAAATAAATCAGGAGACCCTAGCTTTCAGATTCTCAGAAGGTAGAACTCATGTGCACAAAGAAACATAGCTGGAAAATAATACGTGACAACGCTCATAGAACATCAAAACATATATAAACATGGGTTTTGTAACAGTGATCCACTTATGGTTTGACTCTGTCCCTTGTAGCTCTAAAACTGACATGTGTTTTCGTCCCAAACTTCTCCTTCCTGACATCCTCTTCCCATCTTTTCTTCTTGACTTTCTCCCTGTCCATCTCCTCCCTCCCTCCTTCCTCCTGCCCATCTCTCTTCTCTGGTGTCCTTCCTAATCTCTCCTCCCTAATCTAGAGAAAAGGGATTCCTCTGAGTCACCTCTGTAACCCCGCACCCCCAGCTCCCATGACGGGCAGAATCACAGGCTCTGGGACGGGAGTCCCTTGTTTCTCCTTTGCTAGTAAAGCAATAAAACTTCTCTTTCCATTTCCTCAAAACCTTGTCTTTGTTACTGGGTTGGAAACGGGGACAAGGACCCAGCTTTCAGCCACATTTTGTTCATACAAGCAGAATCAGTATGTGTTTTGTGACTTGTCTTCACTATTTAATGTTGGAGAACATTTCTTTTAAATACCCTTTTAGTTACTCACTGAAACACATATCGAGTTAACTCTCTACTACCATGAAAACCTTTTAAATATAAATATGAGAAAAGAATTGCCCTGTTTGGTGGGAAATTAATACTTTACTAACTCCTTGAGGTTCCTGTCTTCATGTAGGGTAAAGAAAGAGTATAGAATAATGCTTCTACCCTAGAGCAGCCCTCTTGAATTCTTTGGATGACTTGTTCCTTTAAAAATTGTTGTAAGTTAAGGACCTCCTGAAATATCTAGGCACATAATTTTGTATATTTATAATTATAGGTTCTGTAAAGTCCTCCAGGGCTCATGAGTGCCTAGTCGTGCACATTCAATGTTATTAATTAAGGACACTAAGTGGAAAAGGCTACTTCCACTGCAGCATACCTAACCCAATGACTACTTTGGCTAGATTTGGGTGAGGAAACTGCCCAGCCACTCTTGTCCTGCAAATTTCTTCCTCTTCACTCCTCTGCCCCTAATAATCATGGCCCATGAAGGGACCCGATCCAGTATTCTAGATCTGCCCTGGGCCTTGTTCTAATGTTGGATTGTGATGAGCTCATGTTTACAGGCAGCAAAGGAGGTGGGAGGGTGGGGAGCAGACAAGGGCAACTGCCTGGTCTCCAGGTCACTCCCCTGCATACAAAGCCTGCCTAGGACCAGCTATGCCAACTGCAGAGAGGAGGCAGGGAAAGAAAACCTCTAAGTTAGTTACCAATTTACTGTGGCAGGATTATCCACAACTTAATACAAAGTGAGACAGGCATCTTGCACAAATGTTATTTGGTTCATGGTACCTTAATGAAGCATTTGAGAGTCGAACAGAAAGATATTCCAACATCAGCAAGACTCCAGCTGTTCCTTAAAGCAGCTCCTGCATACATCAGCTCCAGGTACCGCTTGCCTTGTTCATCTTCTGAGAGAGGAATGTGGAAATAATCCTTCAAGATAACAGCATATTATGAGGAGAGTAGATCTCTAAGTTAGTAGACTGGAAAGGTAATCTCTCCCCAGCCCCTTTCTCTCTAGCTCTCACTCTTTCTCTTTCTCAAAAACATTTCTCCATTGAGCAATATAATTGGGGACAAAGGGAAGAAGTATCTCTAGACCACGCCAAGAAGTTTACAAACAGAATTTGGATGGGATAAAACTATGTCTTCATTTCATGAACTCTAAATGAAATTAAAAATTTCCTTAAATTATGCTCGACAGCAACAAACTAAAGTAGCACTCGTCAGCTGTATCTGTGACTTTATCACGAATAAAAAGTCACCAATATGGAGCTGGGGACATAGTGGTAGAGTGTCTGCCTAGCATGCACAAGGTCCTAGGTTCCATACCCAGCACACACAAACACAAAAAGCCACACATACTTTCATTTTCACGTCACATTACTGGTGTGGCAGATATTTCAAAATGTCATTCATACTGCTCACTGCTTTGCAAGGGTAATGGTTGTTAAATGCACTGCTGGAACCTGTTAGTGGATAATAAAGCAAACTCTCTACACCATGCCTCTACGTCACAAATTTGATTTTTATCATTTGAAAATTTTACTTCAATATAACAGGCTTCTTTTTTTATCCGTATGTATTTTACCTTATGTATTTACAGATATTCTGAGAAAGACTTCGTAGGCGTCACCTAACTTCCAAAGGAATCCATGACACATAAGGTTAAGATCCCCCAGGTTAGAAAATCCTGGTTGTGGAAATCAACCATGTATCATGTAACTCAGCTCAACAAATGCTTCCCTGCCATTGGGAATGACCGTCTCCAAGTTAAATATTTGATGATCAGAAACTAAATATTTTACTTAATATTTTATTTTAGTGTAAATATTTATAAAAAATGTGTAAATATTTTACACAAATTAATATTTACATAAATATTTTTTCACTGCATACAAATAGTTTCTTATTCTGGCGCTATGATCCTCGGTGAGATAGCCTCTCTGAGCTCGGCTTACTCTGAACACAAATGAAGTCACAGCTCACAGTTGGCTGAAGTCCTCTGCTTCTAGAACCCTTTGATTCTTTTTATTTGCTTGCTTACCAAACAAAACATCTATCAGATGACTGGCATTTTCCACTTTCATGGCCTAAAGGTAGTGTCATGTTGTTGTCTTTTAATAAAGAAATGCTATCAGATATGTGGGCCATGAACAACCTTTTTTCCTGAAAAGTTACTGACTCAGTTTGCTTCCTCATCCAACATATTCAAAATTGCCATATTCTTAAAACTCTTATAGATAGTGAGGTTTTCAAATAGTTTTTAGCTCCTTGTTTACTGAAAATATGCCGGATAGTATCTCTATCTATGTACATTTTAAACTATACTGCACAATCATAGTTAATATACAATTTAGTGGCTTGGGACAAAGTACATACCTTTATCATCAGCTTGATAGCTTCCACCGTTTCATCTGCTGAAACATCAAATGGTTCAAAAGATCCTTCAAAAGCTATGAAAATCCTCATCATGCAATTACCTTAAAAAAAAAAAAATCCCACTTGATTTCAAAGATCCTGCTAAATAGTTGGGAAAATTCCAACTCACAATTAAGGACCAAATTGATGGTTGTCCCTGTCAAAGGTGAGAGAATGTGGAGATCCAAGAGTGTCACAGTGCATCCCAGGCAGAGGCCACCTCTGTGTTGCAGGAAGTGCTTCTTTGCTACAGGAGAAAACTGACACCTGGTTCCCATATTACAGAAATCAGCACCCTTGACAATGGCTGAGGCAAGTGTGAACAAGCTTCCCATGTGTAAAACAAAAGCACACACAGAATGACACCTTGGAGATGTGGTCACCACCCCGACTCTTGACTTCCTACTTACTCAACTATAGCAAAATGAAGAGCCCTTAAAAACAACCCCGTGGCTGAGATGCACCCGAGAGAGAAGCACCCCACAGTTGGCGACCCTGGAAGTTCTCTGTAAATAACTCAAGCTGAAGCATCTGGTTTCCATAGCGACTCTGTGTGCTTGTTCTCTGGCGTCTTTGTAATCCTGCCACGGGGTCTGGAAATACCCACTTGCACCAGGAGATGGATGTGTAGGCAACCGCGGCTTTCCCTGCCCGCCCCTGGAATCTGCTCACAGCAACACGGTGGCGCGACATTTCCCTAAATTCTGGCCTTTCTGTTACTTAGAATGACTTACTATTGTCATCTCCTCCAACCCCACTTGGTGTTGCTGGGAAATGTTTAAACCCCTCTCACGAGGGTGAGTGAAAACATTTAGCAGCATTACTCAAGTTTGTAAAGGAAGCAATTTACTGGGACTTAGACTCTTCTGAGGTCCTTTGTTGAGTCATCTGGTTTAATGCTGTGATACCTGTTCCCTTTTTTTCATATACATTAATCTTGCATTCTTTCTGAAGTACTTCCTGACCTAGAATAGTCATCATCTTGCATTTCTATTAATATTGTGGCCAGGGGACTGGGTACTGGGGATTGAATCCAGGATTGCACCATGCCAGGCAAGCACTCTACCCCTGAGCTATTTCACCAGCCTTTTTAAAAAATTTTATTTTGAGACAGGGTCTTGGTAATTTGGCCTGGTTGGCCTTGAACTTGGGATCCCCCCAGCCTCAGCCTCTGGAGCTTCTGGGATTCCAGGCTTGTGCCACTGGGCCCAGATATTTTCTTTTATTTTTCTCCCTTTTATTCTTACCAGCACTCAGACACTGTTGTCATGCGACAACAGCCAGTTAGCCTGTTCACTGTGAAGGACATGGAAACTGCCAAGCCCCGTGGAGAAAGGGAGAATGAGGGGCTTGGACCTTCACAGTCTCCCGTGTCTACAACTGCCCTGACTGCCGCTGCCGACACATCCTGCTGCTGCTGAGTCTCCCTGAACCCTACAACACTCAGACTCCTGTTGTGACCAGTTGCCATTTTCCTCTTGAGAATGTGCATCGCTGACCCATGGGAGTCTGTGACTGTTTCTTTTTCTTTCATTTGGTGCCAACCCCTAGGATGGGGTTCGAGGCTCTTCACCCCCTCTATCCTAACAAACCTCGGCCACGCTTTCATATTTCCTCTTATTTTTCTTTTCCTTCCACCTTATAGAGGAGGCCCTTCACACTTTCCAGGTCCACATCAGCTAAACAGTGGCCAGTATGTGACCTGAAACCAACCCTACTCTTGGGCTGGGTTTCTGCTGCCTTATTGCCACATGGATGGCAAAGACCTGTATTGAGTCCTTTTCTGGTGTTGGGGACTCCCTCCTTCTGACCCTCTCCTCTCCAGTCCCTCCCTGTCTTACTCTCTGAGTCCTCCAGATCAGAGGCTGCTTTTTGCCATTTTGTTTTCCTTCATGCATCATGGCCTGCTCATTCTTGGGAGAGGTAAGGTCCCTTCCAGTCTCTCACAGAGTGCTCTGCCATCTGGACCTTGGGGATCCTCTACCATTGGGAATTGCAGGAGGAGAAGCCCTCTCATTCACTTGATGCTTTGACTATATCCCTTGTGGCTTTGAAACTTACTTTATTTTTTCTTTTTTTCCCATTCTTTTCCTCTCTGGTCCTTCTTTTCCCTGATCTTCTCCTCCCTGATCTCTCCCTAATCTCATTTTTCTCTAAATCACCTCTATAAAAGTCCCCTATTCCTGCAGATGGGCAGAATCACAGCCTTTGGAACAGGAGTCCCCTGTGTTTCTCCTTTGCTGGCAAAACAATAAACCATCTTTTTCCTTTTTCTCAAAACCATGTCCTCATCATTAGATTGGTATTGGGGGCAAGGACCAAGCTCTCAGCAACAACGGGAGACATCAAGTGACACTTTGATCTCAACCACCACTCTGCCAATCCTCTCCAACATGGGGGCTACTCCCCCTTAGGTTGTCTCATTAATAATTTTAAGACCCTCCACTTCCAAACCGACCTTAAAATTAAATGCATCATTGGGCTGAGTACTCAGATCTGGCTGCAATATAAATTAAACAATCTGCATCAATGGCCCAAATTTGGGATGTTTGATTCCCAAAACCTCCAAGACTTAAGACAATTTCCTCCAACAAAATGGCCAATGGCCTGAGGTTCCTTACCTCCAAGCTTTTGTTCTCTTCTCCTTTGCTCAAGACCCTCATTATACCACCCTTGATCTACTCTATAATTAATTCACTGACTGCCCGCTCCCTATGCCTTCTAGATCAGGCCTTGACCGCCCCCCCAGCCCTCTTTTTCATGTACTGCCCCCCAAATAGCAAATGAGCCCCCACCAAAAACAAGTGAAGCTGGAGGCCATCAGGGAAGGTTTCACAGACAGGAGTGCCTTGTAGCTATCAAAGGCGACTGTCAGAGTCACAAGCTTTTGAGTCAAATTGAGACCTGCAAATCTTCCCAACCTTCTGTAGTGGAGGCTTGATCTGTTTTTGTAAGTGCTTGTATGATCACCTAGCCCCAATATTTATCCCTCTTATTGTTCTAAAAAAGAGGTAATGTGGCACATAAAAGTCCTAACTTTACTAAGAAAGCCCCTAATTGACACAGATAAAAGGACCTCTACTAAACACACAGGTGATGCCAAAAGAAAGGTATTTTACAAAAATCAAATAGCATTAAACAATGACAACTCATGCGGACATCAGTGACATCATAAAAGTTAAGTGTGGTGCATAATAATTCTATCAAATGGGTTCACTGTGCTGACCCCCACTTGCTTTGTTTTCCAAGAAGCAATGTATATGCAGCCCTGCCTGGCCTCTGTGGACAGGATAAGTCAGATTCCTTAGCAAACTACCTGTTCACTGCAGGAGAAATGCAATGTTGATAAAAGGTGGGCTGGATCTCCCTTCACCCAGGCGCTGGGAAAGTCGGTCCCTACTTGCTTCAGTTTCTTTTTGGTGGGAAAAAAAAAATTTGTGCATGGGACAGAGGATGGCTTGAGACAAACAAAGGCAGTGGGCTGGGGCCACTCCCCGGTGCTGCAGGAAGGTCTCACATCCTAAGTCTGACCCCGACACCCAGCAGGGTACCAAATATCGACCACTGTCACTATTTGTCTCTGTTTCGGATTGACTTGTCCCAATGTGGAGGGCACCCTCACCCAGTGAATCTTGATCCAGAGATGAAATCTCAGTCTGACCTGAGATCTTGGGAAAGAGTGCCCCATTAATCTCTCAAGCCTGAGCCCCGCAACCTCTCCCTCTTCAGAAATGCTTCTACCCCAATTCTGTCCACACTGTCTGCCCCTTAAACAGGGACCCATTATGAGAGATTCCCAAGATAGAGCTCCCCCAGCTTTGAAATTAGACTCCCTTCTCTAGGCTCTCATAGGACACATCTCCTGTACTCCCCTCAGCTGGCCAGAAAAAGAGAAGAAAATCTGTCTCAACTTAGAGTAAAACTACGCCTCATCTGTCCTAGTTCAGGAATCCAAATTACTTATTTTCTGAGGTGGAGATGTCACCCAGAGCAATAACAGGCTTGCCTCCCTCTTCAAATTGAGGAGCATAATATGAAATCATGGTCCTGTGAGTGTGAGGACCCAAAAGGACAACTGGGGAAATGAAACATGGTTAGAATGCCCTGTGCATGAGGTTTTGCTCAAAACAGCAGCTTCCCTTACTTCTTAGTTTCTGCCAGACTCTCTCTCCAAGGCCTACAGAGCATGCAAAACTTTCAAGATTTACAAGGCTTTCAGAGAACCAGTTGAGAACAAAGGAGAAAAAAAGTGTCACTTTTAAATACAGGCCACTTGTGGAACTTAAATGGCTGGTTATCTTATCTCTTCTTAGCAGTCTAACATGCTGCTTTCTTAAGAAGTTCCTCCCTAAACACTACAGGGAGGGAAGATGGAATGATCTCATGGATTCAAGTCTTCTGTACCTTGAAAATCTTTATCTAAGGATTTCAGGGCTCTCTCTGAACTGACTCTAATCTGACCCCAGGGTGCACTCTGATCTGATAAAGGTGTTCTGCATGCTCCTTTACTAATTACAACGCATCATCTTTTTTTTTTTTTTTTTTTTTTTTTTTTTTTTTTTTTTTTTTTTTTTTTTTAGTGCTCCTGCTTTTAAAAATTCTACATTTTGGAGTTCATGGTTTTATGGTGAAACCACATTTGATCCTGAGTGCTTAAATTAAAATATTTTTTTCCTGGTCAGTCTTATTTTATCTAACTGTAGAGGTTTTTATACTCTGTCTTTGTTTAGATGCCAAATTTTCAAGGGTTGGCTCTCAAATACATTGGAGAATCTCTTTTTACAAAATCCTAAAAAAGGACATAGACATGGTGATGTTGAGAATAAATCTGATAGCCATTGAGGGCAAGTAGCCACCTGAACTTTTGATCTCAGTGTCCGCCATGGCCATCAGACTTTACACCTAGCATTTCCAACTGCACAGGCCTCTGAATTTAAAGCGTAATTTGAAAGTCTGATAAGCTCTATTTTAATTTCTAACAGTTTAAATCCAAAAGAGGCTTTAGTAAACATTTGAGCATTGCCTCCTACCTGTGAAGATCTACCTACAAATAGCTACAAGATCTCTGTTACCTTTCTGCTTTATGTATGTGTGTACACTTGTGTATTGTGTTGGGTCTACGTATGTTCTTATGTCCATGCATCATATGCATGGTATCAAAACTGGCGTATAGATAAATGATTGCTCATAAATTAAAATTTAAAAGAGAGATGGATCCAAATACCTTTTGGTTCACACGTCTTAAAAAGTTCGATTTAAATTAAGTAGACAGATAAGTGTAAAGTTAAAATTACAACTCAGAAGTTTTTGTAGATGATCAGACAATCAACAGAGGGTTGGTTTTATAAAATACCTAGAATGCAAAATCCATTGTTTCTAGGATTTTTCTTCAACAAGCAAGAGATAGCTGGTACTGTTAACTATACTTGTCTGATATCTTGTTTTTTTTACAGTTAAAAATGAGTAAATTAGATTTAACATCAACAGCAATTGGATTAATCATAAATATGTCTGTTAGAGGGAACATCTGATTAATTTACAAAGTTAAGTGTTGGATTAGTCAGGTAGTCTCTGAAAAAAAATACTTTTTACTTTACACTAGGAGAAATTAAAAATGAATCAAAGATTTATATACAAAAACAGAATCCTGAAAGCATTAGTCTTCTTATTATGGATTTTTTTTTATCACCCAACATGAAAAAGACCTTTCCAACAACAACAAAACAATCCCAAATTCATAAAAGGAAACATTGACAAGTTCAACTTTATTTAAAAAAAAATAGAATTAGAATTAGATTAAATGAAGGGAGAATAAATACATAGGAAGATGACACATGCCAAGGGAGAAAGAGGAAAATAATTTTACAAGATCTAGATGAAATTTAAAAAGAAACAATTGTGCTCCAATCAGTGACTAGTATTTTAATCCTCTGATCTCACCTAGATTTCAAGGAATAAAATCAGTTTCTTGATTTTTTTTAAAATGCAATTCCATTTGTTCAATTTTCAGACTTCTGGTCGAAAACATCTCACATTTTCCAGAACTTGTTTTTTGGTATCCTGCAGTTGTATTGGTTGAAATGGAGAAA